GAAAACGAACTAGAATATCTATTATTACGTGCTGGATTATTTGATTTACAACCAATGAATTTATTTCATTTTCATATTTGTTCTGATCATCATCAATGGCTGAGAGAACAACCGAAGAAAAATCATTATGATGTTTGTAAAACAACAATCGTCCGAAAGACAACAGCTTCAACCTACGGATTGCGCCGAATATCTAAAACGTCAGCACTGAGTATTTGGAAGCATCATAAATTACCATTATATGATGCACCAATATGTGATGGTTGTCATAAAACCCTAGAAAGAGATTTAGCATCTGAAATACGTGAAGAAAGTGGAAAACTATTAAATTGGTTGTATGATCAAATGACGTTACATACACCATCAACAACAATGTCGGATTCTCAACAATCCTCATATCAACAAAGCGGTGAAAGTTTATTAAAATTTCAACAAAAACAGGATTTAAAAGAATGCCTTGTGGATAATGGATTTGAAGGTCGAGTGCAAATGGCAAAATCATATAATAATTTGGAAGTTAAAAGTCAAATGAAGTAGGTTGCTCGAATGTTGTTACTTTGCTTTTTTTGCGTTGATACAACACTTTTATTACTTTTGAATGGTTGATGTCTTGTTTTATTCTAAAATATGGTACTTGTTTGTTTCAGTTTTCGACATCAAACAAAACAAATTTTGCTGTTTATTATTGGTTTATTGGCACCAAATGGTACAAATGATGTTTGGAATGATATTAATGATGATGAAATCGAACACAATAAACATAAGTACGATCAAGATTTTGATGCTGTAATGGAAGCCATCGCCGATGCTTATTCACGATCAGAACATTGATCTACAAAACGTCAAATTCTATCGGTAGTTGCAGCTGATTTACCATATCGTAAAATTCAAGGATTTATTCCTGATTTAACAAACTGGAAATTCATAGCTGCTCGCAAAGAGGCTCATTTTAAAGGTAATTTAATGTGAATTTACTGTGTACTTTTCTAAGAATTTATCCTGTTGTTTGTTATTTTTCAGGTCGTGGTGCAACTGTTGTTCAAGAACGATCACTAACGGTAAAATATACAGACGAACAAGTTGCACATTTTGTTGAATATTTGCTGTCACCTCATATAACAATCGATCTGCCATTTGGTGAAAAAAAATTAAAATTGACAAGCGGTGAAACAGTTGTTGTACCAAATACAATAAGAAATTTGATTCCAACAAGAATAATCAATCAATATTATTGTTTTTGTGAGGAAAACCCGGATCCTGATTCGAGATTTCAACCGTTAGGTAGAACAACATTATCTGAAATATTAGCTGGTTGTTCGGCATCAACAAGAAAAAGTTTACAAGGTTTGGATTATTTTTCGGCAGATGGGTCAACAGCATTCGAAACACTAGTAAAATTATGTGATGATCCGTTATTGCTTGGTAAGATCTAGAGGTTGAACAAAATGTTTTATATTATTTCGTTCCAAAACTACTGTCTTCTTTTGGTTTTAGGCATACCATCACATTTAATTGACAAATTAAGATGCGCTCTACATCAATGTCGTAATTATTTGAAAACTGATTATAAATCACATATTTCACAAGAATCTACAGTCCCAGATCATTGTACTGTGTTTGCATTGTCTGATCCAAAAGAAAAACAATGGCAACAAAAATGCGAACATCATCATAATGATCAATGCGAACAATGTT